CAGGCCCATTGTGTTTTCTAATGAATTAATGTCATGAATTAATCTTAAACGTCAATGTTTTTAAACAACTAAATGGAAAAATGGTTGACTTCGGCGTGGCCTGTCTGTTTGAAAAGAGATTTAAAGAGAAAACAAGAGCTTTAAAGGCCGTAAACAACTCCACAGAAAAGAACCTATACACTTGAAAGGATCTTATCATTTTACACAAAGAGTAACCCCTGCCATGCTTCAGATGATTGTTGAGTCTCTCCCACCAAACTATTTGCCCAATGATGACTTACAGTGTTTAGAAGAGGTGCAGTCCTTTTCTTTCAAGCTGTACTTTGGGGCAAAAATGAACATATACTTTAACTAATGAGAAATGTTTGATTTGATTTATTTAATGAAATATAGGCCTGCTTAGGTATGGGATTAGTGCCTTTACAGTCATTGCGTTTAGTTGTATTGGATATCAGATATCCCATATGAAAAAAAAAAACTATCGTAATTTATAATTTTAATAAATGCAATCAATATAATATAGTTTCCATACTATAGTAAAGTACTTCAATGAATCTGTTGTGGCAATTATATTGTGCCTGTGGTAATACAGCAACTAACATTATAAACAAAAACAATACTGTAGTTTTTCTAACACTAATACCCTATATTGTACTGCAATGCACCACAGTTTACTGTAGTGAAACATAAAAGCTACTACAGTATTTATTGCTGTGCATGCGGTAGGATTTATTAACAAAATATTGTAAATGTATGGTTGAATGGTCTATAGAATTGACAAGCAGATGGTCTTAATAATATAACATAAGAATCTTACGTAAGTGAAGTCACCTTTCACCACTGACCTACTGTATTGTTTTAAATAAAGAAAACATTTTACAAGTAACTGTTATTCTAAATCTTGGACCATATTCTTGAAAGACAAACTCATCAATGAAAGGTGTGAAGCACCAAAAGTACATTTTGAAGCCTATAAAAATTAATTTTAATGACAAATGTCTAACTTTTTTACAAGAGAAGCTAGAAAAATCATTATCATCATTATTATTATTATTACCATTATGCATATTTTTTTTTATCATTCAAGTTGCCAAATTTTGACTGAGAAAAGTTGAATGTGCCGGCCAGCTTTTAATTTGCTTGATACTTTGCCTTAATAGGCAGTCTTTAATTTAAATTTTTAACATATTACTTTTTCCTAATGGTATTTGATAAAAACAATACGTATTTATATATATATATATATATATATATATATATATATATATATATATTATATTGCTTTATTCTAAATTTTTAGGAAATGCTTTGGTAGATAAAAAAAAGTTTGTTTATAACCACCCGACAAGCTAATCCACAAATAAATAGTGCTTAAAATGCTGTAGCTATTTTATCTATTAATACTTAACTTCATAGTGATTATTATTATTCATAACTTCATAGTTGTTATTATTATTAAGTTGTTTTTTTTTAAATGTATATTCCAAATGTATTATTTGTGATATTAGTTTTGTGTATAGTTATAAGGCCAAAATGGACGACATACTGTGTTTTGATAAAAAAAAAGCTTTTAAAATGGAAAGGGTTGTCAAACATAGACTCCAAAGGACATTTTAATTAGTAATGACAATTGTAGCCTTAACAAAACTCTGAAAAGTGAACTGTAAGATATGCATATATTGTAAGTTTACTCAGTCTGAGTAAAGGAGTTTTATATATGCATGTGTTCGTATTAATATTGCCTACAGAAAAGTTCAGAAGTCAACATAGGTTACTCAAAAAGGTTGGAAGGTTAGTCATGTGCTTTTACGCGCGCCCTCTTCTTGCAATACATTAACACGCATGCGATTTCTTTCCTTTTTTAATAGGCTTTTAGTTAAACGCCTGATATCTAAAGGTCCATGGTTATATTATACAACATATATCGGTATATTGTAAATTTGTATAGGTCATCCTCGTGTTTTTCAACGCTTTTAGGATTGCTTTAGAAGAAGCAATTGGTAAGAAGTCTTGATACCGACTCACAGGTAAACACAGTTAAAGTCATCTTACTTAGTAGTCAGTTTTTTATATCATAACATGTGTAAAATCGTTCTTTACGAACGTGTAAGTTTTTAAATGAAAATCGCAGGAGCTTATTGGCTCAATGATGCTGACGCTGAAGTCACGCGACCGTTTTGTAGTTTTCTTTGCAGTACCGCTTATCAGCTTGTTAAACGTTTAACTTGTTTAACGTTTAGCTTGTTCAAATAAGTTGTGTTCATTTGTGAAATTAACGAGATGAACAACGTGTAAGAATTAGTTCAGTCAAATAGAAATCATACAAAAAACCCTCTGGAAAACTAGTTGATAAAACAGTGACAGGCTGGACTACAAAAAAAATGTCATCACTTAACAATGTGGTCATACTTATGTAGGGGGTTGATTACTATTTTGAGGGCTCTAAGCAAATATAGGACCCTCATGCATTAACATAACAAAAAGTTTTGCTTTAAATCTATTAATAAAAAAAATGTAGTAACAGTCTGCTGTGATATGTTTTCCGCAAAGTTTTATTACAATTTTGGGGAGAATCTAATACATAATTTGGTCCAATTTTTACAATACTGCACTTTGTAGGTCAGTTATTTTTTCAGGCCAACGTTTATGGCCCAATTTTGGGCACCAAGGAATAGGGCATTCATCTTCACTGGCATGTGGGTTCAGCGTGTTCAAAGGGCAGCGTGACTGGATTTTCCTTCTCTTCAGAAGTTTCAGTTAGATATTTAGTTTTTTTATATTTTCTGGCAAACATTCAGTATTTGCTACATGCTACATGGCTCTTTGTTCCAATGCATTTGGGCCGCATGTTAGTAATCATGTCGAAATCAATCATCAAATGCAGTCAACGGCTTGTGGTCAGTAGGGGGCCCACTAAGCCTCTGGGGCCTCACGCAGTTGTGTGCTTTGTGTGGTCGGTAAAACACATTTACTGGAACAATGAAATGCTAAGGGAAGGTTAAGCAATGTGCTTACTCTCCCCTCATGCCTAACACCCTCAGTATCATCCATACACAAGTATACCCTCAAACAGAGCTTATATCAAGCACTAGACACAAACATACATGCATCAGACAAGAATTCTTTAAAACACACAACTCTACTTGTAAACATTTGGCCTTTGTAATTCAGAGATTGATTCCACAGTCATTATTGAAGGTGATATAAATTGGTATCACCTTATTTTGATGGTCCCCTTAGGTAAGTTAAGTATCTGCCGAAAGAGCAGTATCAGCATATATTAATCAAATGAAAAGTAATTGGCATGTAGTTGCAAAATAAAGTGTTACCAAAAAATGTATTGATTGATGTGACCTCACTGCATTGCAGCAGCATACTGTATCATCCACATTTGTACCCAAAATATGATAATGCTGGAGTTTTAGATTTAATTACTCTCTCTCTCTCTCTCTCTCTCTCTCACACACACACACACACACACACACAAATAATAAATTGATTATTAAATTAATTATTATTAAAACATAAATTTTAGGTTTTGATGCCAAATAAGTGATGCACTGTAAAAAAATGTTTTTAGGTCATTGTAACTTATTAAACCGAGTTATTCATGTTCTAACTTAATTTTATTTGTTAAGTCTGTAACTGTTTTAAATCAGTTTAACATAATATAAGTTAAATGGACTCATAAAGTTTATTTGATTCAGCTTAAAAATTTAAGGCAACCAGGAGTTTTTTTGTTTTGTTTTTACAGTATAGACACATATGTTTAGGATATTCATGACTATGCAAACACTTAATTCATGATTCTTTTAGGGGAATCGTTTTTGATTCAAGCAGAAAAAACTCTAAACACGATAATACTGCTTAATTTTTTGCACTGTAAAAATATGTTGCTGCCTTTAATTTTTTGTTGAATCAAATAAACTTTTCATCTGAAGTTCACACTGACTAAAGCTATTATGTTAAACTTTGTATAACTTAAAAAAATAATTGAAAGCTGATTAACTTATTAAAATAAGTTAAAGCAACATAAAAAATATTTGTTGTCGACTTTTTTTACATCACATTTTTTACAGTGCAACGCTGAAAGAAATTATGTAATCTGACAATTTACACCTAACACATTCCCAAAGATTGAGGCATGTTGTCACAAAATGTCAACAGGCGTTCAGTTACCGTTTTCCATGTGGAGTAACGAGTGAAATGTAGGTTAATGGAAAGACTATTATTATGTCTATCAAGAAAAACGTACGGGCTAAATCCACCAGGTGCCATTTACGTACGAGAGCCACAAGACGGCGCCAGTTCATTGTCAGTGGTCCAAACTAGACATGCGTTTGTGATTATTACTTTGAACAGTTGGTGCCGCTACATGACTTTTTATTTTTTAAAAGAAACCTACGGAACACTTCACATTACTCAACACCCAGATCTTAAGTCTGAAGTGTGCTGACGGTCAGCCCCCTAAAAACCTTTAATACCACTTTTCAAGTCCAGATGAGATAAATACTATAGTGCTTCTCAAAGTTTGACCACTGGATACTCTAGTTCACAGGACAAAGATCTTTTTGACCAAAGACAGTTGTGCTATTTTTAACATAGTGACTCACATTTAGACATTGTCGTGTAGGCTTGTAAAAGATCATATGCGAACATGAAAAAGTCCACCATGACTCCATCTGAAAAGGTTTTTTTTTTGGCAGATGCACTGTACTTTTACTTTTTTTTTTGCATCTTCACAGGCAATTTAACTGAATTTTCTTCAGATACTTTGAAAGTGACTCTGTTATGTTCCATATCATTCATATCAATACTATATTAACAATGTAAACATCTTCAGGGGGAGATGAATGATGATGATGATGATATATATATATAAAGAATTTTAAATAGGCCTATACACACATAGTATACGCATTTATCAGGTATACAGATATCTGAAGTTTTAAAGCAAACAAAGTGTAAGTTAAGAGAAAAAGAAACAAACCACAAATGTATGACTTTCATATGATTTATTTTCTTGTGTAAAAAGAGTAAGTACAAAGAAAAAACTCTTAAATGAGTTTATGAAACTCGTTGATCTGACAGTCTGTAGAAATAGACAATCCCCACAAACATATACAATCCACTCTATATTATAGAGTTCATATTCTAATCCAAGTCTTTATCCCCACTGCCTTTCCCACCCTATAATACAAAAACTCCCCTCAAGCACAATATATACACACATCATCCCGTGATCGAGAAGCTCGCTGAGACCAAACTGCAGCCATGCTGACTGTGAAAATGTTTTCAAGAAAATAAAAAAAAATATTACAAAAGGGGTGGAGGGGGGCTGGGAAGGAAGGGTGTGTGAAGAGATATTAGTTAGTCCAAATAGTCAGGAATGTAGCCAGTACAAAATACACAATGCTTGATTGTTGCCACAAAAACAGGAATGATTAAGGAAAAAAAAAAAAAAATCAGAGGGCTTTTCTTTTTTGTGATCTTAAAAACTCCTCGGCTTTGGTTTGTTCAAGTGTCCAGTGACCAAAGAATAGACAGCTCGAGAGGGGCGCAGATTGCTTTCCCACACTCTGAATAGAGCCTCACTCCTTCACCCGGCTCACCCCTTCACTCTCTTTTCTTCCATAAGTGGAGGAGAAAAGTTTCTGTCCCGCACCTGCAGCATAGATGAGAGGGAGAAAAGTTAACTCAGAGCTCACACACACACACAAACACACACTGTGTGGACAGCAGACAGTCTGGCGCCAAATGGAAAACTTTCATTTGCTAGAGCTGATAGGGGAATCTAAGCTTGTTTGCTGATTGGCACGATGACCAAAAAATAAATTAGGACGCTGGACAGACTTTGAGATAACTCTCTGACATAATATGTAATCTTATCCTTTATAACATTTACCAAAAACTTGAGATTTAGCCAGAGACTTATTAGATTCAACTCTTTAAAAGGACAGCTCCATTTAAAACCAAACTGGATTTTCCGGTCTAATGCATTTCAGGGTCTCAGTTCTTAGGAACTTAGTAACCTTGTAGTTTGGAAAGCCATTTATGAATTCTGATTTCAAGAAATGTTGGTCTGAAGAACTTAGGAAAACACCAAGACCTCCAAAGATCTTTTAAAAAGTCCTAGCTTGTATTTTTTTATTGTGTTTTTATTTATTGTGTTTTTTTTATCTTCTCTATTTAATGAGTGTTTTTGGTTAAACTTCTGAAGAAGTAAATATATTCTGAACTCATTTTTATAAATTATTGGTTTAATTTCGAAAGTTGAATTGAAAAGGAAACGTACCATTGACTGATATCATTCATCCATCCTAATGGCACATAGCTCCATCTTCTTTGGAGAAATTACGGCTCATCTCTGAGTTCTTCGGGAAAAAAAGACATGCAAAGATTTATTTTATTAAAGTTAAATATGAATTGGTTAATATAGTGAAGGCATTATAATTCAGGTATGTAGCACTCACCTTCATTGACAGGAAAATGTCAGGCGTGTTTTGTGTGTCTGTCTCGTTTTCCAGCGCTATCTGTAAGTCGAAGATGTAGTCGATGACATGTTGGAGAATCTCCACTTGGCTCACGGACTTGTTCTGCGGGATGCTGGGCACCAGCTCTTTGAGTTTGGAGTAACAGTCATTCATATTCATGTCGGACAGCTCCTCGGAAGGACTCTTGCAGCGGCTGATCGCGAGGCTCTGCTCCGAGATACAGCACACCGCTTCATAGCAGCTTCTGACAGAGCGAACGGGACTGATCGCCTTCATTCTGGGTCTGGCGTCTGACTTGCTAGTAGAATCCAACTGGTGAGATGTCTGAGAAAATCCTCCGTCTGGACACTGGGATAAACTAGCTGTAAAGCTCTATAGATATCCAATGTTGAACTCCTTTCACGTCGCGTGCTCACTGAACGATGGAAGCTCTACTGAGCAGGCGATCCTTTTTAAACACTGCTCCGTGTAGCTCCGCCCCTTGCAGAAATAAACAAACCCTCATGTGCCACACAGCCAATAGTAGAATGGAAATAAGTGCACAGACCCCGCCCTATGCAAATAGTTAAGTCTTCATTGGAAGCTTTGGCTTGTCAGTCAGAGAGAATGGTGGAATGAGGAAGAGCTGTCAGGATATCAGAGTTATATGTATTTTTTCACTGGTGGATTTGAGTGAAGATTTGAGGTCAGTGAACCAAAAAGGAGCTGGGCAAGCTCGTGGAGTAGATTAAATATAAACTTAGGTTAAAGTTCACATAGTTGTTTTATAGGATCATTTTTGAGTTTATTTTGTTATCAGCTGATTGTGTTATAGCCCAGCCGGCACACGACCGACCTTCAACGTTGAAATATGGTTGAAATAAGGTCAGATGTGTTTTGAGCGTTGAAATAATGTTGATAGAACGTTTAATGTTGAACGGTTGAAAAACAGCCTGCATATGACAAGGCTTCAACGTTGAAATGTGGTTGAAAATACGTCAGTAGTTGCTTTAATGTTGAAACAATGTTGAATGATAAATGGTTGAAAAAAGTTACAGAAATCCTTGTACAAATCAACGTTGACATTTTTTTATCATGATCTGTATGTTGAATTAACGTCATGGCTTCACCCAATATTCAACATGTTTGGTTACCATGGTATCGGAGGACTAGGCGCACGCGGCCACGCGCAGCGCTTCACTTCACTTAATTACGAACACCTGACCTGCAGTGCAGCAGAATTCAGAGGTAAGCGTGTTTTTAGATGCTTTAATATTTTATTTACCCCCCAATTTTGTTTTACACACAGTGTATCTTAAATGTGACTTGGTGTAGTGTTTCGAATTTTGAAGCATTTAAAACTTTCCAGTTTGGTTTTTAGTCGTTTGCGCTCCGGTGACGCGCAGCTAACCTCGAGGTAATGTCACATGTTTAGTCTAAATGAGCGTTTTTATGGCAAATTCAAAGCGATAAACTCCAAACGCAGTTTAAAGTTATTGAGCAACGTTATAAAACAATATCCTTTTTATACGCTGTATCATTAGTGTTATTATTACAAAGTGAACTGCTGTCGTTTCACTGTTGTTGTTGTTGTTTTTGCTTTTACTCTAGAGACGCACTAACTTGCACAGCATTGAATGGAAAAGGCTTTGTCCATGTAAGTTTACTTTAGCTTTAACTAAGCTATCTGTTAAATCTTCTTGATGCTTTGGTTGGTGATATTCTCTTTCTAATCTGTTTGTTTATTGAATGTTAGGCTATATTGTGATATTTATATTGTTATATTGATATTATTATTGTGAAATCATGTTGTGATGTTATACTATGTGACAGTATTGGGGAACAAATATGTATTTAGTTAGAAATTAATGCTTAAATTACACTTTGTATAGTGGCAGATAAGAGGTGTAATGGGTTTTAATTTTCTGGGTTTTCTGGAAGGTCCAGTTGAGGGGCATCAAGAACACGCAGATGGCCTAAACCTGTGTCAGCCTGGACAGACTGCAGTTCTGCTATTTCCACGCCAAGGCTTTTGTATGGATGTCTGACTACTACTGTGTTCTCTAAAGGTATTACTGGAGCAAAACAACAGCACCTGTTACAGTGAAATTTGTATTCATAAAAATAGTGATACATGTGTAGCAGGTCCAGTACATGTGATGTCATTGAGAAGTTGTTTTTATTAAATGTCCTTAAAACAAGTAAATAAACATACTATTTAAATAAATCTAAATATTAAAAACTTGAGGATTAAGATGAGAAATGAAATGAATCATCTGTCTTGCGAAAGGGGTGTACTTAAGAATTCTGGTGTTTTCCAACTGAAAGGGATAGTTCAACCAAGAATGAAACTTTACTCACATTTTACTCCCCAAATGGTTTAAAACCATTATGAGTTTATTTTGTTGAACAAAAAAAGAGGCTATTCTGAAAAAAAAAAAAACTAAAAACCTGTAAACATTGACCTCCATAGTAGAAAAAAATACTATAGAAGTCAATGGTTATAGATTTGCAGCTTTCTTCAAAATATCTTCTTTTGTGTTCAACGTGGTCAGTAAATGACGACAGAATAAACATTTTGAACTATCCCTTTAATTCTCTGACCTACATGCAGACTTTTGTAGAAGTGCTACTCCTTCTAGAGTTTTTCTCAACCATATGTCTAAAAAGCTTCAAACAGCTTTTACAGTACATGTAATGGTTTACAACAACTTGTAATTATTAGATGTGTTGAATGTTTCATGATTCTTTACTGCAGCCTTTGTTAAAAAAAAAAAAAAAGTAATTTTTTTGAGAATCTGAAATTTGAATTCTGGAAATGCTGGCACCGGTGGTGGCGAAGGGCTTCCTGACGATATCACACCTTATTCTTCACTTCTCTTAGTTAGGAATATTCAGATGGATGAGTCAAAATTATTGAGTGTGACAATATTATAGGACAAATTTGGATTCAATAAAAAATAAATATTTGAATTTCACTTTGTATAATAGCAGACACCAACTTAGTTGTAACCTCGTATTTCATTTATTGCAGGTTTTCTGGAAGCTCCATTTGAGGTCATCAAGGACATACTGATGGCCTAAACCAGTGTCAGCCTAGACAGACAGACAGATATCTATTGCAGTTCTGCTACACAAGACCAAACTCTCTGCTTTTGTATGGATGTCTGACTAATACGGTGTTCTCTAAAGGTATAACTGGAGCAAAACAACAGCATCCGTTACAGTGAAATTTGTGTTCATAAAAGATATGTGTAACAGGTCCAGTACATTTGTCATAAAGGTTAAATCACAGTAAGTACTGTAAAAATAACTTGTTTGCCTTTGCCACAACAGGTCATGGTGTGTGCATACTGCTCGTAGTAAACACACATGCTGATCTGATGCGGGAGAGATATACGCAAACACATTTGTATTTACTGTTTTGTTTTGCCTCACTAAAGTGTTGTTGGAGCTTGGTATGTTCACAGTTGAAATCACTGAAGTCACATGGAACATTTTGACAATGTGTTTTGTGCCTTATCTTGACAATGACCATCTTGGGACTATTGCTGTCTGTAGAGGATGAGGAGCATTTAATCTAAAATATTTTAGTTTGTGTTCTGAAGATTAACAGGTCTCTGGGATGACACAAGTACTTAATAACAGAACCTATATGAACAGTTAATGTGACATGTAATAGTGAAATAGTGGTCCTACATTCACAAATGTGAGCCATTATTATAAGACCCATGTGAACATACAATTTTTATGATACTAATAATAATAGAATAACAAATTGCTTTTACCGTTGTGTTTGTGAGAGAGAATCAAACTATATATTCTACACATTTTCTTGATGATTTACTGAAATATTTGTCTATGTTCCACTGTCACAGGTGCTCAGTTTTGCTGCAGTAATGCTAAACACAATAGATGTACTTTATGCAAAAAAAAAAAAAAACTACTAAATATTTAGCATGCAGACCTGCAAAGTGAAGGAGTAATGTCAGGTTTAGATTATAGCATGAGTTTTCACTATTGTGAAAGTGAAGCCATTCATTCACAATAGCAAACCTCATTATTGATTTTGTAGGAAACTCACCTGGTGTTTGAGAAATAAATATGTATTTAACTGCTAGACTGATATAGATGTTTAAGTGTTTTACACTTGATTCTTTGTCCCAGTGCCATCTTTTACCTCAAGTTTTTCTCCCAACCTATAAAACCTCAAACAGATGTAATGTATTTCACTTGTGATTCTTAGTTGTGAGTGATGTTTTTTATTTATTTATTTTTTACTGCAGCCACTTTAAAAATGGGTATTTTGTAAACTTTGTAAACGGAATTGTATTTTGGAGACTGTGATGGTTGAAGCATAGTTTAGTTACTTAGTTTAATTTAGTTAGTATCTGTCTTTCTGAAGACGGTAACACTTTACAATAAGGTTGTATTAGTAAGTGTTAATGTATTTACTAACATGAACAAAGAACAATGAAGCATCTTTCAAATAAAGAAAGTACAGTTCATGTCAGCTCAGTGCATTAATGTTAACAAGCATACATTTTGATTTTAATAGCATCGGGACATATTTCAATTAATTAAATGATTAATAAATGCTGTACAAGTATTTGTTCTTTGTTCATGTTAGTAAACATTAACTAACTTTAATTCATGAAACCTAATTAAAAAGTGAATATTTAATTGTATGCCTTTTTCTGTATTTGAGCATGTATAGTAACCTGCATGGTTTTAATGATGTATGCTGTAAATGTTGCTGTATATTTAGAATAATTGAAATAATGAGGTGTGTATTAAATAAATTGATACACAGGCTAAGTTGTGTATTTGTGTCGTGTATTTTTAATTAGTAAAAATTTGTTTGCTATATTTATGGACTTTGCGTTTTATGTAATTCCTATTTAACTTACGTTGAAATGTATGACGGTGAAACAACGTCACGGTATCAACGTTGATCCAATTTGCAAAACCGAAAGGTAATTCAACCTTCATTCAACGTCTACAAAACGACCATAATTCACCCATGAAAAAGGTAAGAGTGAAACAACGTTGTGATTTCAACGGTGAATCACCGGTGGTGGTCCGACGGTGAAACAACGTCACTATATAAACGTTGATCCAATTTGCAAAATCGAAAGGTAATTCAACGTTGATCCAACCATAGACCTGACGTTGATTCAACGTTGAATCACCGTTGAAATGCCGGCTGGGAGGCTATGCAGGGTACTAGACTACACTGAAATTAATTTGAGAATTATATTCAAACGCAGTAAGCATAACATTTTATTAAACTTAAACTGTTATCCAATCACGCCAATTTCCTAGGACTACTTAAAAACGTTGACACTTTAACATTTATTGAGGAAAAATGGGAGGCAAAAGCTATCATGGCTTAATAGGCTATCATTCTGTCTCAACTCAGACGTTATGGA